AAGGAGGTCATATGGTGAGTAACCACAGTCATGCGGTCGATACATCGAAGCTACACCCCCGCCTAATTTCCTGAAGGGATTCCCAACTGAGGGAGAGTTATGCGATCTTGAGCGGTTATTAAAGAATTGATGGTCGGATCATTGTGCGTGTGTGTTTTGGGGGAGGGGTTATCAGGCAAGTGCCTAAGGAAGAGGGTGACTTGAAACTCTCCCCATCTTTCCTAGTATGTATTGAGTAATAAGTGAATGATACTCGATCCATTCTGTGATAGGTGCAGTTGCATTGGAGAAGCGAACATAATGATGGTCGATTACTGAGCGACCTTCGCCCCTCGTGCCCAGCCAATTGCCCCTCGGATGTGCCGTGTAAATCCTCGGGATCCAGTGGCGGGGCTGCCGATTGTCACGGTATTCAAAAATCTTTTAGAACAAGACCGTGGGGCCAGCGAATGATCACATATCTACAGGCTCAAGGCTCGATGAACAAGAAATCCCCTGAATGGATGTGAGGGTGAGGGTGAGGGTGAGAGGGTATGCGACCCGAGGTGTCACGGTCCGCAATGTTTCTAACAGTTATGGGAGAGGGTTAAAAGCAAGGAGGCCCGATTTCATCCACCTATTTTTTTTTGGTACACATCATTCAACGGATTGATTACTAAACCCCTTATACCTCTTTTCACTAGCCGGCTGGATAGATATACAAGTAATATCGGCAATTCTATAATAGGGCTGGGGCAGATGTGCAGGAATATGTGATTGGCACTTCAGACAAGGGGCGGCGGAAGAGAGAAGGGGAGAGAGAGAGAGAGAGAGTGAGAGAGGCGACGAAAAACCCGCGCCGCATCTTGTGGTTGTCAGATAGTTAATCCCAAACCACAAATACGGACCCTTCCATCCCCGACTCTTCCTCCAACCCTATCATGGTCCCTTGCGGATGTTTCAGCCGCCCATTTGGTAAACCGGCCGGCGTCTAACCGAATCTGTCCACCACTTCGCCCAATTGTTTACCCAAAGCTGTTTTCCCTTCCCCAAAATCATTCATTACTTTTGCTTGTGAAGGTAGGGAGGGGACCTCGTTGGAGCCGCTAATACTCGGCTATCCCCAACCATAACCATTTAATGGGAGGTGGAATAGGCATCAGATGAGCACAAGCCCTCCCTCGGCTCAACTAGATTGTTTCGTGTTACTTCACCCTTCCCCCCCTAAAAAACATCCTCATCGGCAGCACCGGCATCTGTTGTTGAGCCGGTTAGACTAATAACAAAAATACAAAGCCGCACTATTACAGCCCTTCGTCGAGTTTATTATGTACGCCGCCTAATGGGCGATTCGACTAATAATTCTACACCCTCCCCCTGTCGGCACTATACCGACCATTGTAGACAGATATCCGGATTTACGTAGCAGTTATTACCGATAAAGCCACCTCGTACACTCCTACCTCGTCTCCACGACTAGGCTCTGTGCCATTTTTGCAAGGGCCGCCAATTCAATTCCATTTAGCGGAAAGGGGTAATCACGGACGTTTCCCTACTATTATATTCACATCTACCCCCTCCCCACCCTCCGTTCCCAGCTGAATGCCAATTGTAGGTAACAGGGGTATGCCTTTATCGGCCAAATGGCACTACTACATGGTATTTACTCTATCCATACCTGTCTGTAAATTGCCCCCAACCGATGCAAATGGCTGGTAGGGCGTGTGGTGTTTTTGCTATTACCAACTGATCATCCCTAACTTTAGATGGTTCGATTTCCCCGTTGACTTTTTTAATGCCACTAGTATTCCACTCGATGTATTTGCGAATAGAATCCTAATCGCTGTCCCCTCCTCCTCTACGAGCTCTACCATCTCCCATCACTCCCACTTTCCGCACTATACCCCCTTCTTCATTCAACTCTTATTCTCCTCCGAATTCAGATTGATTTTTAATATGGCTGAAGGTTTAGGTCATGCTAGGGGTCATACGGATGCACAAGTTATTTTTTTTTCACTCCGTTCCCCTCTCTGTCGCTGGATGTAGGTATATGGGAGGTGTGAGAAACTTAGCGAACGTGAGGCTAGATGGGGAAGTCAAGTTGAAATGGGTGGTAAATGTAACCTCAGGTGGGTGGGTGGTGAAGGCCAATGTGATGATGGTAGCCCAAAATAGGAGATCCGCTTACGCATGTGTATTCCCTTTGTTATCGATGTGACTCGCAGTTGGGTCTGATGGTCACTGAATATCAATGAAACCTGCATTATTATTAACTTAGCCATTAAGTTAAGGTAGGTCCCGCCGGGGAGATGGGATTGCACGTTGTTCTCGCACTACTTTAACCTTTAGGAGTCGCTTTCCTGCAGCGACCGGTTAAACACAAACCCATCACTGTAGTGACTCGGCATTCAACACCAAGTTTTGGATCCCCTCCCCCCAAATATATATGTAGATATATATATATATTGAGCTATATTAGAACTTTTATTACACGGGTCCTGAGGAGATGGGGGACTGTGGGTGCCAGTGTGTTTGGGGGCTTGCGGGATCGAGTAGTGGGTGG